CCATGAGACGGCTAGGAAATGTACAAGGTTTTAAGACATACATGTTTTGCTTTTGAGCTTTTTGCCATCAACGCCACCTCGGCTAGGCTACCCCACCTAAAGACGCTTACATGGCAAACTGTCACCCTGACTGACAGTCACTACCTGGCAGACCAAGCAACCCGTCTAGGAGGGTCAACCCACCTATCATGTGCACGTGATCAAGATAAAATAAGAAATTATACGGGCAGGCGGGTTACCTCACCCACCTGGGTATCCTACCTCCATGTAAACAGGCCCTTACTTACCGTACCGAAAATACCACAACGCATAAATTATGACTGATTAAGCAAATGGAGCCATGTGGTTATTCAATATTGTCACGCAAGATACGGCTTTGTCAAACTGCTCTCGCTGTAGACGCTGTCCATCCGGTGACATACTTTGTTTGTTGCTGGATTCGTGTCTAATCTTTAGGCTACTCATTTTACAAAAAGTCAAAACAGCCCACAAGACGCTTACATCCCCAAGTGTAACGTTGCGTAAATTGAGTACTGCGGGTCTCCTAATTCTTACCCTGTTCAACTATTACTAAAATTGCGTTTAAATCTAGGTCGCGACAATTTTTCTAGCAGAACAAGGACAATAACAAGGTCCTGTGATGGAAATGTTATTTATTGTAACAAATGGCTTTGTAATGTAATCGAAATAAGCTTTGAAGGAAGAGATGATACAAATATTAGGAAAAGATAACGTAGTAATATTCTCCAAAGTTGGCAAATGTTTGAATAAGTAAAGAATGCGATAGCCAACAAAGAAATTACTTGAGAATCTGAAAGAACTCTGCCCACGATTTGGCTTTGTTTAATACTGTACGATGTCGGGATTCTGATGAATTTAATTTTCAACGCAACAGCAATTCATATCGTTCTCCTTATAGAACTGACTTCAGCTGTTTAGATATAATAATAATCCCGTCAGTTATTCGCAGGCGATGTTCTTTGCATATTTTTTTGTCAAAACAAGTTGGGAACTCATCAGGATACCAGAAGAGTGCATGCAAGTTCCTCAATAATCTCCTGATATAATTTTTCTACTTTATCGCGAATATCACCGCGACCATATCCTCAGAAGTACCATCGCTAGGCAAGGGACGTCATCATATCTTATTGCTCGGGGAGTTATTTCCACAAATTTCTTCATTTTTTATGATATTCGAATCTACCCCTCACTTTTTTAACTGCCACATGTGGATGTTTCCATTTTGGAAGCATCTCATTGCATTTTTTCGAAATAAACGGTGGAAAGTTATCGGTTTCACCGAGGGTTCGATTTTTTTCAATGTGGCGCACACGTATCCCTACCGTTCTTTTGTTGTGTTTAAGCAAAGAACAACGTTTTTTTTTCTTCTAAGCAAGTTGATTATTCTGCAGAAACAGCGATTTTCTTTTTTATGGAAAAATAGAAACATCGTTTTGTTTGTGAATTCGCTACAAAAAAGGAAGGCCCAAGAATCAATAAATAAAGTATCAGTAGAGCTACTAATCGAGCAAAATTAGCATGGAGTTAACGTGAAGGTAGTGTTGAAGGGCTTTCAAATAACTTCGAGTAAATGGTAGAAAAAGGAAATTAAAAAAACAAACAAACAAAAACCAAGAACTAAAACGAAAAAACAAAATTATAGAAAAAACACCAAAAAAAATGCGAAGAGAAGGAAAAAAACAAAACAAAAAAAGGCAAAAATTAGGAAAAGATTAAATAAAATATTAAGGTAAAAAAATTCCCTAAAATATCTCAACAGGGAGGGACCATTTATCTCGGTACAGTTTCGTTTATTTTTGCCGCGGGGTAAAACAGGGAAAACGTTTATCTGAATTTCTCTAAAAGTGCATTGAATTTAGAACTAAAACTAAGCACACATCGCAGTATATTACAATATTGCAATAAGTTATACGTTGGTGAAACAGGAAGACGACTAGGTGACCGATTCCGAGAACACCTTCGCGACGTAGAATTAAATGACAAGGACGCATCCAAACACGTCGTTAGACACTTCAATCTCCCTAATCACTCTAAACAACATATGGCAGTTTGCGGTCTTCCCTTACATCTAGGCAGTTCGGAGAGCCGCAAAACGCTTGAACAAAAATTTATCTTCCAAATCGGCACTCTTAATCCCCAGGGTATCAACGAGCGCTTTTCATTCAACTAATTTATTATTGTTTTCCCGTCACTACAACCCACAATTCCTTCAATCGCTCTGACGAAGGGCTAACGCTCGAAACGTCAGCCTTTTAACTCTTTACGGTGGCCAATTTACGTTTTCAACTCAGTTGTCAACACTAAATTACCTGCTATACTCTCCCACTGACGCAGCACCAGAGTTTCTTTTAAAACTTACCCCCCTTAAAACTAAGCACCCATGGCTGGTTATAATACTCTAGTATTTAAATATGTCAAAACTTCCAGTTGTGTTCTTGCCCATCGTGGTTCGTAGATAAATGCTGACGAGGACGTGCAGCATAGGAGTCGAAAGGTCGTGATCAATACACGATTGATTAGCCTGACTCTTTCATCGTGAGACAAACGACTAAACGTTTATTTATCTTAACGTATTCTTTTTTTGTTGTTGTCGCTGTCTTGTTTTTTTAATACAATTAAATTGTACTATTAAATTTCTCACAATTGCTTCTTTTTAACGGACGTATGTTTAATTTACAAAGTATCTCTCTTAAAACAGAAGGAAAAAATCTGATGCATGCAAGCTTTAAAGTAACAGTTGCAGAAAGAGGGTCTTAATGGGGATAACCGTTAGCCGTAAATTGGCCAAAATTTTAACCGTTAGCCGTAAAAGCCATCACCCCATTGAGACCCTCTAGAAAAAACCTAATGGGTTATTTTCTTCAATTGGTCAAAGGATAAAAATTCTTTTTATGCAAAGACGTCTACAAAGTTTTGGAGAAAAAAAGGGAATAATGAGCATGACAATCGTGACAAGTGACCGTTTTGCGGCCAAATTAGCGTTATCGAGGAGTCCATTTTCCACGTCCAACTAACAGATGAATTTAAAAGTAGTAAGAATGCACTTCCGTTTAAAAGCTGCAGGAGAAGAGAACTATATACCAAATAAAAGTATAAAGGAATAAAACATTTAGTGAAATAAGAGTCAATGGTTAAATTATTTTGTTGGGGAGGTCTGGGTATTAGCGACATCTTATGAATAAACTCACAGTAAAGAAAAACATTCACCTTAGCGGTGCATAGCCTTACAGGCATTCAAAAAGCGACGAGGCTGCTTCATAAGACTGGACGTAAATATTGCTACACAAGACTAAATTTATGCAAAAAACATGACAAATTACTCGACATAAATTAAGTAACAATACACAATGATATAAACATGAACTTCAAGTACACAACGTAACTAATAAAACATACAAACACTCACAGGTAATTAAAACCTAGACGCGATACACACGGGAAATGGTATGACAAGAGTTTCACAGTAATGATAGTGATAATATCGGTAACAATGATAGTGACAATAGCGATTAAACTCAAATGAGGTTGATCTTTAACTATATTTGTCACAAGGGAGCATCGACCTACCGGAAGTCAATTCGCGGTTAAGTGGTGTCGTGATACTGGAAATCTGAATATACCGTCCCTCTTGATGTGAAAATGTAATACCGGAAGTTGATTTTCAAGAAGTAGAGGCAGGTTTGAAAATGTTGTCGAATCGACTCTATTCGAATGGAATGGGACGATTCACCTCTTCTAAAGTCATACTGTAATGCTGTTTGCCAAAGATTTAAACAATAATTAAGAAAACAATCGAGTGCCGGAATAGGCTCTCTGATGGACCAAGTGACACAAGGGAACCATATGTACCAGTTTATTTACTTATTTATTTATGTTTTTATTTGGGACTTTTAAAATATCGTAAATGTCGAGCAGTGAGCTTGTATCATTTATTATTTTTATTTACTGAGAAACACTTACACTTCACTGCACGTGATATTTGTAGAAATAAAGTCTAGTTGTGAAATAGCCACTAAATTGTCTCACTGACTGATACAATTCCTCTGTTGTGCACCAGTAAAGAGGATCATACAACATCACTTGCAAAGATAAATTTCTATTCGCTATAGAAAATTGAATTCCTCAAACTCAGTGTCGAAGGAAAAATCTTCGTTTTGGGGCTGGGCAAAACATCAGATTCGCGGAAAAGATGAAAAAAAAAAGAAAATATAAATGCTCTAGACTTAATCATTATTAATAATCCCTTGATAAGGTTCAATAGAATGGTTTGAATCAATAATAAATATTTATGCAATATGAGAGATAAAGGGAAACCGGGTTCCAGTCCTCAGCAGATTACCCGCCTGTGAACTCAACAAGGCAATTGACCGCCAACCCAGTTACAGGCCTTACAACAATATATTTTTCACAAATTTGGCTCACTTTTTTATCTGTCTTTATTTCACAAATTTGATCACTTTTTTATTATTATTATTATTATTTGTCTTTATTTCACTAAAACACAATAAGTTGCAAATGATTTATTGAGGCTATCACAACTGCTATGGGAATTTAGAGCTTAGCATTGATTTGTGATTTAAAGCTAAACATGGATTCATTGTTAACACGGCCACAGACGAAGAAAAAAAACCCTCGAACGACTGGGTTTAAGGGAACAAAGGTTGATATCGGACATCAATATACTTAAAACGTAGGCAAGTGTTTGCAACCCTTCGCCTCATTTAACCTTTCAAAAATTTGGCCAACTTTTTTAACTGTCTTTATTTCACAAATTTGATCACTTTTTTATTATAATTATTTGTCTTTATTTCACTAAAGCACAATAAGTTGCAAATGATTTAGTGAGGCTATCACAACTGCTATGGGAATTTAGAACTCAGCGCTGATCTGTGATTTAAGACTAAACGTGGATTCATTGATAACACGGCCACAGGCGAAGAAAAAAAAACCCTCGAACGACTGGGTTTAAGGGAACAAAGGTTGATATCGGACATCAATATACTTAAAACGTAGGCAAGTGTTTGCAACCCTTCGCCTTATTCGTTATTTACATTTAAAAATTTGATCATTTTATTCACCAATTTGCCGGCTGATTAACATTTTCCCCCCTTAATCTGGTTGAATAATGTAAAAGAAATTTCGTATCCTAATTTCTTCGAGGAAAAAAATTTTCTGCGAGTTTAAGAACTATGACTACCAATACCACTTTCATTTCACAGCCACAAAAAGATCCTTGAGGATGAAATGAGTCGAAAATTTGCGGCGTCCACAAGAAAAACGCGCTTCGTATTGTTTTCATTGACAATCTAGTCAGCACCACAGTAGCGCAGGTGACAAGGATGCACTGAAGGCGTACCACTGATGTAATACACAAAATATCCATTGCAATTCCTTACTTGGATGTTGATGGACCAGACGCAGCATCCTCCTGACCAATTAAAGCAGACCTGCCTGGTGACTATACCCTCGCTCACTGTAGGATGAACCCCGTTTAACCAACCAGTTGCATGCGTTCCACAGCGGTTGGTTGGAACACATGTGGCAGCCATTTTATTCCCGGCTGCTCCCTGGAAACGAAACCAATTTGGACCAAGTGAATTGTCGCATAAAAGAACTCCGGTGAACGTTTCTTTCCTGTTAGCTTCTGTAAGACTTGCAGGATTTTGACATTCTGAGAGAGAAAACAGATAAATGCACAGCTAAAGAGTTACAGTGACGCTACCTCATTGTTGTTTCGTTTCATTTCTTTCATTTTCATTTGTCTCCTTGGTGTTTTACGTTTCTTATATGGATTTTTAAATACTCTTTAGGAGATTCAATCGCTTCAACACAGTTCGAAATGATTGACAACATTCTTGTTTCATGCATTTTATCAGTTCATTAATCTGTTATTAAGATATTTTCTCCTCTGATCATGTGCGTGGGAAAGAGCTTTGAACCTAAATTCGATTAAAATTATCATTCTTATTTTCTTTTAGATAAAATATTTATATGTACGGCTCAAGACTCACTCTTCTGAATCATTACCCGCCCTAATTTCTAAAAAATAAAGAAGAGCAATCTTCAGTGAAGCATCTAAAGTCAGACGAAAATATCTGAGATAGTATAAGCCTCTGCAATTGTAAGAAAGATTATTTCACATTACTTGTAAAAGAAAAAACCACTAACCGGCTGATTGCACATAACAACTTGTCCTTCCATCCCCTACGTAACCAAGGTTACAAGAACAGTTGTACGAACCAATAGTGTTAATGCACGTGGCTGTTCCACGAAGGCAAGTGTGAACACCAGCTGTGCATTCATCTATATCTGGGAAATATAAAAAGTTATCTGTTCACACTGAACAGTTCATGGAGTAGTCTTTTCTAGGTAAACAATTTTTATCATCTCCTAATGCAAAACAAGGGAACTAAGATAAAACTGGTTTTAAAAAGTCCAATCCGCAAAAAGACTTTTTTCCTTAAGGGATACAAAAGAAGTTCCTTCGGAATTTATTTTATATATTTGTCATGTGGAAAAAAAACTATGTGACTTTGCTTATCTTAGCTATGAAACAATTTTATCATTCGTGCGGTTTTTTTAATATCAAACATTCTCATGGATACAAAAACTGTTCTTAGCCATGACAGAATACCAACATTATTAGGAGGTAAAAAATTTTATCTCTCATAAATAGAGTTCGACTTTGTATTTGCCTTGAGAAGAAAATATGGCTCTGGGTTGTTACAGTATTGGATTATCAGCCTTGTATATGAAGACTGCTTGATGCCTATTTAACGAGAAATATGAAAAAAGGGACGTTACTGTAGATGATGAAAGTCATATGTCCAAAATGAAGAGCTGACTAAGAAAATATGACAAAAGAGATATCAATGGGCAGATGATGTACTCTATAGAACATCAACAGCCCTGTTGAGAGTCATCCTCGGATATACTACTGATAGTCTGTAAGGAAGTCGATCAAGAGGAACATGGTGGAAGAAATCTGACAGAGAGATGACGAACAAGTACTGAACATGAAGTGAACTTGTACGACGAGCAGTTTATAAAAATTAGCAAAGTTCTCTAACAAGAGGCCTTCTGTGTGTCCCACACAAAAAGAATAAGTAATTTCAAAAGTAATCTATACATAATGTCCTTACCTACACATTCTTTGCCACTTCTAGTGAAACCAGAATGACAGGAACAGTAATAAGAGCCGTTGGTATTTGTGCAGTTTGCATTAGAGCCACAAATATGGACGTCAGCACTACACTCGTCAACGTCTGATGAGGCAAATCGCGAAAAAATCATAGACAAAGCATTTCATATTTTAAAAAAGTACGCTCTCACAATGAAAGTTCCACATTTGCAAGTTTATTCATGAAACACCTCTGAGACTTCGATACAGATTCAAAGGTTATGTTAGCATCACCTTGTCATTTAATTTTACTTTTTCTTCAAAGCTGACGTTTAGAGCGTTAGCCCTTAGTCATTTGCTCTAACGATGACTAAATTACCCTGTTACACTCTCCCACTGGCGTAGCCCAATAGTTTCAGAAACTTCCCCCCCCCCGAAAACAGTTACCTAAAACGAGAGGTTTCAATACAGCTCAACTTGCCTTCTGTCTCCATATCACACTGAGCAAGTAGGGATTTGCCATTAACAATCGAATTCAACCAATAGCTGCCACTGATTGTGTGACCTTCACTCAACTTGATTTCTCTACATGTCTCCGCAGGTACCTCCGGTATGGAACCGAGAGGGACTGGAAGAAAATATCAGAGGGATCAGAATGAAAAAAGAAATTGGCTGGCTCCATAAGGATGAAGAATAATGTCTCTAAAGAGGGTCTCAATGGGTTTAACCGTTAGCCGTAACACAGCAAAAACAATTTAGCCGTTGGGCATAAAAACCAGTAAATTTTAGCAGTTGTCGTAAAAGAGACAGTACATAACGGAAAAAAGAAATGGCTAAAACTTTAACTTTAAGTCGTAAAAAACCATCACCTCAAATAAGCCATTCTAAAGAAAGTGTTCAAAGAAAAATAACAGGAAGAGGAAAAAGCCTGCATTATGTATTGTATGTAAAATTACACAAAAAGCTTTTATGATCAGTGAACTGCTGTGCGACGCCAAGATGTGCACGGGGATCCGGTCTTCTACTCGAGTGCCATGGAATACGCCAACGGTTCTTTCTCTTTTTGTAGTTTAGTCGACTGTAGTTTCTAGAGTATGTTTTAAATAAAGCAATAACTCACCCCTATTCTTGTCTCGTGTAAGATAATATCGGAATAAATCTGGCACAAAATGCTCAGGTCTGGCCTTATTGGTGCGGTCATTCAACTCACAGCTATCTTCCCCCATGACGTAGTTCAGGCTCTGACACCTCACGTCGTCCCTACAAGCATGTAAACACTCCATTGCGCTAGACGTTTTCATCGTCTTAAAATTGTGTCTCATCAACATCATGCCGAAAATGGAATATTCCGTTCCACACTGTTCAGCGGTTGTTGGAGACAGCAGGTGGACGATAAATAAAGATGCAACGAGAAGAACCATCCTTAGACCAATTCGGCAAATCTTTTCACTGCAAATAACATTCGACCAGAAATATAGTCCTATCGGGGGATTTTTAAAATAGCACTCAAAATCATGTTGTTTCCTATGGTAATTTTTCAATGCGAGTGACGTCATGGTTACTGACAGGTGTGCACTTCAATTCGCCTGATTGGTGATAACTTCGCGGTCGTCCGATTTTGTTAATCACTCGTGTGATTACAGACCGAATTGGACTCCACTCGGTCCTATTACCTTTATTAATCGGATAGCAGGTACAGGAAAGGGTTCCCACAAGTGCCTGAGTCGACACAACATCGGTATTTATCGAAGCTAAAGAATAATGATGTCATCCATGATTGAAACTTAAAATAATATAAAATTTAAGCTACAAAATTATGGGTTTACCACATGAAGCTTCCGAAAGTTTTGGGAAAGAAATGATAAAGTGTACCTTGAAGTAACAGTCAAAAGTACTGAGGAGAAGGGAAGAACGTAAATATTTCTCTTAAAATGGTATCGTTAGCGTTTTGCCAATTGAAGCTGTGCAAAGAATATTATATTAAGAGATAAATTTAAGGTGGGGGCGGGGGGAAATGAGAATAGCACCGTTAGAATTATGTTTAGTTGAGTTAAACCAAAATAAAATTTACCTTAACTAGCGATATAACATCGGGTTAATCGGTCTGCAGAAGAAATCACTTCGTAAGCAGAAATGCTTCGAAAGCTTTGACTGCACTGATTGCACTAGCTCCTTTCATTTAAGTCAAAAATTCAACTTCGGTTCCTCAAAAAAAATATTAAACAAATACAAGTAGTCACGACGGCGACGTTCAAAAAAACGTCGTTTACAAAAGGAAACTTTCATTAACCGCATGCACCTTGTTTACATGCACCGACAGCTTCAGATCTCTTGCTCAACACAACTTACACAGGCAACGTTGAGATTGGAGTAGAAAAGTGATTACACTTTCTGTCGATATTCCAGTTTTCAGACATTGCAAATAATTTAACAGTGTTCAATGCAGATTAGACTAAGTTAATAAAGGCCCCATGCAGAGCTATTATAGTTCTGTTCACCTACATAATCCTTTGTTTCGCCGCTTTCCAACTTCCACCGTCACAATTATTTATCTATGACATAACTCAGACACAATTTCGCTCTGATTGGTCAAAAATCCATCGTTCATTTTGCCGGTAAACCCATGGAAGACTGAAACATCTTCCTGTCCGGAGAAATGGCGCCACACGGAATGAATTCCCAGATTTTAATTTGCTTTGGAGGAAACGAAGAGGACGTTTTGAATGCCGAAAACAACGACAAATACTTTATATTTCTCGCATTTATCAAATTGGCTATTAAAATGCTGAATTTCGCCAAAGTGTTCACGGAGAGGGAAAGGTCGAGAGGGAAAAGTTGCCACGTTTTTTCTTCAAGAAAACTGTAGCAACAAACAAACAATTTCATTTAAAAAATTATTGGAGAATTTGTATACCACTCTTTAGTCAAATGGCACAGTTATTCCCATTAGGGACCGAGACTGGTAAACAATTTATAATTTTTCAATTAAACTAGCAAAATGCTAACAAGAAGAACCTGAGCAATGTAAGGTTGTAGATCACTACAGGTCTGACTTTTTCTCAGGCCTTATTTCCACTACTTCTTAAGAAATGTTCATAACTGCGATAATCGCTTTCATTGTTATTTGTTAAAAAACCTCTGTCAGTTCACATATATGGTTTTCCTATATTCACAGTCATTGAAAGGAAGATGTTTCACCGACACATCTTCACTTCAGTTGTTTTAAAAGGCTTCCAAACAAACTTTGAGACATCTTTTGACACCTGTCAATTTAAAAAATGCGTGCACTTTTGAAAAAACAACAGTATGTCTTATCAGCGTAGCAAGCAAACTTGAGCTGGTTGAATATTACAACGAGATTTTCTTCAAATAGCCAAATGATCCAAGGGAGAGTTTCATCCACTTCCAAAACAAGAAATCTTCGCAGATTTTCCTCCGTTCATTTTTGAATGCCAAGGAAATTCACCGTGAGTAAATTCAAATGACTGTTTTGAATTTGCAAAAGTTTTAAACGGCTATGAATATATGAAAGTCATATATTTGAAGTGCGGTTAAACTGGGAACTTGGAACCAACAGTGACCAGCTCCCAGTTGGCTTGTTAGCTCAGTTGGTAGAGCGCTTCACCGGTATCACAAAGATCATGGGTTCAAATCCCGTACAGGCCTGAAATTTTTTCAGGCCTGCTTTTCACTACTGCTTGAGTAGTGTTCATTACTGCGAAGATCGCTTTCATATTGCAAAAGTTTGTTAGTTTATTTGTTGTGATGATGCAATTTATTCCTTTCTTCCTCCGAAAAACTGTAGTTGAATAAGAAACTTAAAAGAAATAAGGGGATTTAATGCGGCTTACAGTCATTAAACTTTTTTTTTCTTTTTTGCTTTGTAATTTACGGTAGAAGTATGAGTACAGTTATCACCAAGCAGGCGAATTGAAGTGCACACCTGTCAGTAACTATGACGTCACTCGCATTGAAAAATTAGCATAGGAAACAACATGATTTTGAGTGCAATTTGGTGTTATTAAGTACGAGTAAATTTTCCAAAGACAGTAAAATTGTGCCGTACAAGGTACTACTCTTAACATGCGTAGTCAACTGTACCGCGGGCACTTCAACGCCACGGCTTTGTTCAGTAGTCCAGTGGTCAGTGCACTGGGCTCCGAGTCAGACGACCCGGGTTCTAGTCCTGGCCGAGGCAAGGCGTTGTGCCCTTGAGACGTGCGGGGGCTTTAGGCTTGGCTAAATCTGTATATTACTTAGGCGTGCTGAAATTCAAAATGGCTGCCTCGCGTTCAGCAATCAGTACCTAGAAAGTGACAAACGCGATGGAAAAAAATTCAATTCCGAAGAGCATAAATACTACATTTGAGAGTAATCAAAACAATCGTGACAAAACAAGCGCAAAGCTTCTTTTTTTTTTTTTTTTTTTCATGAAATGTACTGTTTCTCGATCAGTAGAATATTGTTAATGATTCTAAAAACATGATCGTTGTGCAGGTGTACTCAAAGAAATGCAATTATCCTCGAGTGAGAAATTCCAATTTAATCAGTAACCCAATTCGTTCTCTGTTCAAAGCGTTCAAAGTGCATTGTATCTGCTTCAGATTGAGCGAAACTATCTACAGTAGAAGACGGTTGTTTAGGAAAAAGTGGATGACATAGCTAGTCGTATACCTAAAAAATACCATAAAAATCAAGTGTTTTAAGTTAATATCATCGCGCCTCACCTGCGCGGCCCAAATTAGTGTTACATTCTCAATCTAACAATGATCGAAATCACTTTTGCAATGCTTGTGCAAAATCCGAAGGCTTTCCAGCGCAGTTACGGCTTATTGGTAACATTAGCCATGTTTCTAAGCTAACATATTTCTTCTGATGCTCTGACTAACAAAAGGAATCACTGAGTTCGCTATGCTTGATAACAAACATAAAATAAAATAAAAAAATTTAAAACACAGCGAACGCTATGGCGAAATTATTTAGTGAATGTAAACCTGAAAACGCCAACCTTTCACCGATGAGCAGAATTTGGCCAAGATCTTTCTGTAGAAGTAAATCCCTTTAAAGTTGGATATCTGTTCGCAAAATGAGGTTTTATCTCGATCACAACCGTTACGCATTAACGAGAATTGCAAATGAATGGCTTGAAAAGCTCACAAAGCCGAAAGGGTTATAAATAACTAATCTCAATCAATATTTAAGAACGGAATTAAGATAAACAAGTTAGAGAGGCGTCTATTTTCCTTTTTTGAGATGTGTGACATTCACCATGATTGGAATTGTAGCTGTAGGTTATCCATCCAAGTTGTTAAGGCAACGTGAAAAATAGAACCGAATATTTCCCACGGAGATGTCAATTTGAGGATGTGAGATCAAAAATTGGTCATAAAATTATTCGCTTTCTTTATGGATACAAATCCAACTTATGGTAATAGGAGAATTGCAAATGGAGCAAAATCAAATGTAAAGGCTAATGATGTATTAACTATCAAACAAGCATTTTCAATCCCTAAAAGTGCTGACAGTTATCGATATGATATATTATTTATAAATGGTCCTCAATGCGACATGAAGTTTTAAAATATCTGGAACCGTCACTCGTTAATGGGAGTCTCGACAAATTTTATTTCTTCCAAACAGCCAACTAGATAATATTCTTAATATTTTTCGCTACTTCCCGAGCTCTACTTTCAGGATTCTTAGGGGATTTCTGCATACTTAGAACGGCTAGGATATATTTTTCTGAAGTACTAATTGATACCGCGGAATAAGACGATGAAATGCTGAATATTTAATTATTGTTCCGTTCGCTTTCAGACTGTGTCACGGACTCCATCAGGGAGTGTTTTGAAACAGACTAAAGGACTTAAAACCTGACGATTGTAGAAAACGAGGCTGCAAACCTACGTGAATGAGGCACATGGCATTGAATTAAATATTTAACTACTATGATTGACCAAAATAGAATTTCTTCTCACAATATCCATACAATATCAAGCAGAAAAGTGATGAGACTAAAGAAAAATATTAACCAGGGGATTATAAATTGATCCAATTCTAAATTCTCCGAACTAACTTTATAACAATTGTATGGCAAACTGTATAGAGAATTAGTTATGAGATCTTGGGAGTGAGAGCGTTAATTTAATCCTGCGCTGTTCACAAAAATTCAATCGGTTTTATGTAAGTATAAGTGTTGTGCGTAGGCCTCTACCAGTTGTGCTCGTAAAATTCTGGAAAGTTTCTCACTGAATGCAAAAAAGTTGCTAAAAATTGCTAAAAATCCAACAGGGTGCTGCCTCATTTTCTTGACATTTTTATAGAAACGTCAATCAAAAGCTTTATTTTTCGTTGTTCACAATAATTCCTAACATCGGTCACGAAAAAAAAGAAAGTAAAGGTAGCTTTTAAGAGTCGCTCACAAATATGGGTGAAATTTATGGATATACTCCAAGTCAATAAGCCAGCGAAATGTTGTCAAGTGACGAGCTATGTGTTCAAAGGTTGATGAAAAGTCCAAAAATTTGCATGAATTGAACTTTTCTCCGAAATTGTTGATTTTTATGAGTTTGATATGTGCTGTAAACCTGTATTTTGCGCAAAAATTGCTCAGAAAAGCAAAAATCTTGTTTTACTTGGGAACTCCGAGACAGAGCGTCGAAAAAGCATTAGTATCTGTGATGCCAATTATTCCGGTATTCATAGAGTAATTAATTTTTTTTAAACCATTTTGAGAGTAGGGACATGTCACTTTGTATAAGAAAGTAAATTTAATCTTTGAAAATGAAACACGTCCTATTGATTTGACAAAAAGACTGAAAACGAGAGCGTTAAGTGATTCTGGTCTTAGGGACAAATTCTGACAATCTCTACCAACTTCATCAAATTTATGTCTCTCTCATTGCTTAAGTCTATCTTTATTTTTCATTATTTTCACTTTGGACTCATACCTTGCTTATCTTTACAACTGTCTTCTTTTCAATAACTATAGTTTCATTACTCTTTTTTTCATCTTTTTGTTTTCAATCTAAAAGTTCTTTATCCAGCACTGAATAGTTACGCTTTTCAAAATAAAAATAGGGAGATTATTACATCTACAAATCAATTCTTCTTCGAATGCCACGTGCTAATAGTAAATCTGCCCTAGGCGTCCACGTGATAAGCGCGGGTACGTTCTACGTCAACGGCAGCCACATTCTGTGGCGACCATGTCTCGGTACTGGCGCAGGATCACGTGACCGTTTTTCTTAAAATACATGATCCCCAGCATATCGGTGCTGAAGTTTGTTGCGACGCAGCAGTTAAGCACTACCTTGCCTCCTCCATCCATCCGCTCCACAGCAAGGGAGCGCACCACGGCATGGTTGCTGAAACTGGCGGCACCAGCAGCCAGGTCACACTCTCCCACACAGTCATATGCGTTGAACGAGAGCGGTGCGATGAGGAAGTTCCCGAAAGTCTGCTTGGTGTTGTTATGCAAGTCACGTCTGGTGCACAGATCAGTGTCGTTGGTAGATGGCCGGTAATTTGTCTTGTTCATATCTCGACGAAGCCGACTAAAAGAAGCACAAAACACTCTATTTAAGTTCTGCATTTGGAAGTGCATTGATTTTAGGAACCGTTATTTATTGTCAAGAGACGGGATGATAGGATTTTGGTTTGTGTCTCAGTAATATTTACCTGATCTCTCTTAAGGCCTGCAATATTCTTATGATCCCCACCCCACCCTACTCAGTGGCAGCTTGTGGAGAAGTGAGAGGAACTGGGGAGAACAAACGCAATTCGCAAACTCGCCAGACCAACAGAAAGATTATTGGTCTCTTTTCAATGTGAATAAAGAAACTGTTTCGCAATTTCCAAATTATTCTGATGATCTCCCAAAATTCGATTGGATAATTCAATCCGAATTTCGTATTTTATCGTGATCACGTCCACATGATAGGCGGGTTGCCCGGTCTGCCAGGTAGTGACTGTCAGCTGGGGTGACAGTTTGCCATGTAAACGTCTTTAGGTGGGGTAACCCGGCTAACCGGGGTCGCGCTCATGGCAAAAAACTCAAAAGCAAAACATGTGTTTTATAACTTTGTACATTTCCTAGCCGTCTAGATCTCATGGCAGAAATCCCCAGAAACCGCAACGAACAACAAGGGATGTAAAATGTTCACATTCCGGAATATTTAGCATTGTAAGTCGACCATATTTCATTTCCCAAACTATTCCTTATAGCGTATTAAGCAAAGACGTCTCCAAAGTTTCGGAGAAAATAGGGAATAATGAGTGTGACAATTGTGATGAGTGACCGTTTTGCAGCCAAATTAGCGATATCGGGGAGCCCATTTTTATGTAATAAAAATCCACGTCCAACAAACAGATGAACTTAAAAGTAGTAAGAATGCACTTCCGTTTAAAAGCTGCAGGAGAAGGGAACTGTATGCGAAATAAAAGTATAAAGAAATAAAAAATTTAGTGAAATAAGAGTCAATGATTATGTTATTTTGGTTGGGAAAGTCTGGGTATTGTCTGCATCTTATCAATAAACTCACAGTAAAGAAAAATATTCACCTTCGCGGTGCATAGCTCTACAGGCATTTAAACTACGACAAGGCTGCTTCTTAAGACTGGACGTAACTATTGATACACAGGACTAAATTTATACAAAAAAAACATGATAAGTTACTTGACATAAGTTAAGTGATAATACACAACGATATAAACATTAACCTCAAGTACACAACGTAACTAATAAAACATACAAACACTCACGGGTAATTAAAACCTAAACGCGTTACACACGGGAAATGGTATGACAAGAGTTTCGCAGTTATGATGGTGATGATATTGATAACAATGATAGTGACAATGGTATTTCAACTCAAATAAGGTTGATCTTTAGCTATATTTATCAATAAGAAGCATCGACCTACCGGAGGTTAATTCACGGTTAAGTAGTTTCGTGATACCGGAAATATGAATAAACCGTCCCTCTTGATGTGAAATGTCATACTGGAAGTCGATTTTCAAGAGGTAGAAACTGTTCCTCAACCTCTTAGGAGGCAGGGTTGAAAATGTTGTCGAGTCGACTCGATCCCACTCGAATCAGACGGCTCAACTCTTCTAATGTCATACTGTAATGCTGTTTTCTAAAGATTTAAACAACAATTAAGATAACAATCGAGTGTCGGGATAGGCTCTCTGATGGACCAAGTGATACAACGGAACCATATGTACCAGTTTATTTACTTATTTATTTATGTTTGTGTCCGGGACTTTCTTTAAAATATCGTAAATGTTGAGCAGTAAGCTTCTATCATTTATTTTTTTCATTTAGTGAGAAACACTTACACTTCATTGCACGTGATACTTGTAGAAATAAAGTTCAGTTGTGAAATAGCCACTAAATTGTCTCACTGACTGATACAATTCCTCTGTAGTGCCCCAGTAAAGAGAATTATACAACATCACTTGCAAAGATATATTTCGATTCGCTATAGAAAATTGAATTCCACTAAATCAGTATCGAAGAAAAACTCTTCCTTTTGGGGCTGGGCAAAACATCAGATAACAACCATTCTATCAACCTTGATAAGGTTGATAAGGTTTGAATCAATAACAAATATTTATGCAATATAAGAGGTGAAGGGAGACCGGGTTCCAGTCTTCAGCAGATTACCCGCCAGTGAACTCAACAGGGTAATTGACTGCCAAGCCGGTTCAAGGTCTTACAAGCGGCGGCCATGTTGCGTTTTTCAAACAACAAATTTCGTTCCACAGCGGTGAGTTGGAACACATGTGGCAGCCATTTTATTTCCGGCTGCTCCCTGGAACGAAACCAATTTGGACTGAGTGTATTGTCGCATAAACCAACTCCGGTGAACGTTTCTTTCCTGTTAGCTCCTGTAAGACTTGCAGGATTTTGACATTCTGAGAGAGAAAACAGATAAATGCACAGCTAAAGAGTTACAGTGACGCTACCTCATTGTTGTTTCGGTTCATTTCTTTCATTTTCATTTGTCTCCTTGGTGTTTTACGTTTCTTATATAGCTTTTTAAATACTCTTTAGGAGATTCAATGGCTTTAACACAGTTCGAAATGATTGACAACATTCTTGTTTCATGCATTTTATCAGTTCATTAATCTGTTATTAAGATATTTTCTCCTCTGATCATGTGCGTGGGAAAGAGCTTTGAACCTCAATTCGAGTAAAATTATCATTCTTATTTTCTTTGAGATAAAATATTTACATGTACGGCTCACGACCCACTCTTCTGAATCATTACCCGCCCTAATTTCTAAAAAATAAAGAAGAGCAATCTTCAGTGAAGCATCTAAAGTCAGACGAAAATATCTGAGATAGTATAAGATGAAAAAAAATGCTAGCCTCTGCAATTGTAAGTAAAATGATTTCACATTACTTGTAAAAGAAAAAACCACCAACCGGCTGACTGCACATAGCAACTTGTTCTTCCATCCCCTACGTAACCAAGGTTACAAGAACAGTTTTACGAACCAATAGTGTTAATGCACGTGGCTGTTCCACGAAGGCAAGTGTGAACACCAGCTGTGCATTCATCTATATCTGGGAAATATAAAAAGTTATCTGTTCACACTGAACAGTTCATGGAGCAGTCTTCTCTAGGTAAACAATTTTTATCATCTCCTGATGCAAAACAAGGGAACTAAGATAAAACTGGTTTTAAAAAGTCCAATCCGCAGAAAGACTATTTTCCTTAAGGGATACAAAAGAAGTTCCTTCGGAATTGATTTTATATATTTGTCATCTGGAGAAAAAAACTATGTGACTTTGCTTATCTTAGCTATGAAACAATTTTATCATTTGTGCGGTTTTTAAAAATATCAAACATCCACATGGATACAAAAACTGTTCTTAGCCATGACAGTTACGTCTGGAGTGGTGGCAAGCTTGCCTCAAACATTATGTTTGATCAGAGGATACCAACATTATTAGGAGATAAAAATTTTATCTCCCATAAATAGAGATCGACTTTGTATTTGCCTTGAGAAGAAAATATGGCTGTGGGTTGTTACAGTATTGGATTATCAGCCTTGTATATGAAGACTACTTGATGCCTATTTAACGAGAAATAGGAAAAAAGGGACGCTACTGTAGATGATGAAAGTCATATGTCTAAAATAAAGAGCTGACTAAGAAAATATGACAAAAGAAATATCACGTCGTAGTTACTGACAGGTGTGCACTACAATTCGTCCGATTGGTGATAACTCAAATCGGACTCCCGCTTCGTGGTCGTCCAATTTTGTTAATAACTCGTATGGTTACAGACCGAATGGGACTCCACTCGGTCCTATTACCATTATTAATCAGATAAGTGGTAGAGGAGAGGGTTCCCACAAGTGCCTGAGTCAACACAACACCAGCATTTATCGAAGCTTAAGACTAACGATGTCATCCACGATTGAAACTTAAAATAACATAAAATTTAAACTGAAAAATCATGGGTTTATTACATGAAGTTTCTGAAAGTTTTGGGAAAGAAATGATAAAGTGTACCTAGAAGTAATAGTCAAAAGTACTGGGGGAAAGGGAAGAACGTAAATATTTCCCTTAAAGTGATATCGTTAGCGTTTTGCCAATTGAAGCTGTGCAAAGAGTACCATATGAAAAGGAGAATTTGAGGAAGGTGGGTAAAATGAGAATAGTACCGTTAGAATTATGTTTAGTAAAGTTAAACTGAAATAAAATTTACCTTAACTAGCGACATAACATCGGGTTTATCGGTCTGCAAAAGAAATCACTTCTCAGTACGTAAGCAGAAATGCATTAAAAGCTTTGACAGCACTGTTTGCACTAGCTCCTTTCATTTAAGTCAAAAATGCAACGTCGGTTCCTCAAAAAAAAATATGAAACAAATACAAGTGGTCACGACGGCGACGTTTAGAAAAATATCGGTTACAAAAGTAAACTTTCATTAACCACACGTCACCTTGTTTACATGTACCGACAGCTTCAGATCTCTTGCGTAACACAACTTTTATAGGCAACGTCGAGATTACAGTTGAAAAGTGATTACACTTTCTGTCGATATTCCAGTTTTCAGACATTGCAAATAATTTAACAGTGTTCAATGCAGATTAGACTAAGTTAATAAAGGCCCCATGCAGAGCTATTATAGTTCTGTTCACCTACATAATCCTTTTTTTCGCCGCTTTCCAACTTTCGCCGTCACAATTATTTATCTATAACATGACTTAGACACAACTTCGCTCTGACTGGTCAAAAATCCATCGTTCATTTTGCCGGTAAACCCTTGGAAGACTGAAACATCTTCCTGTCCGGAGAAATGGCACCACATGGAATGAATTCCCAGATTTTAATTTGCTTTGGAGGAAACGAAGAGGACGTTTTAAATGCCGAAAACAACGAAGAATACTTTATATTTCTCGCATTTATCAAATTGGCTATTAAAATGCTGAATTTCCCTAAAGTGCTCACAGAGAGGGAAAGGTCGAGAGGGAAAAGTTGCCACTTTTTTTTCTTTAGGAAAACTGTAGCGACAAACAAACAGGATTTCATTAAAAAACTCATCGGAGAATTTGTATACCACTCTCAAGTAGAATGGCACAGTTACTCCCATTAGGGACTGAGACTGGCAAGTCATTTAGAATTTTTCAATTAACCTAGCAAAATGCTTACAAGAAGAACCTGAGCAATGTAAGGTTGTAGATCACTACAGGCCTGAATTTTTTCTATTTTCACAACTGCTCAAGGGTTTTATAGTTTAGTCGCCCGAGAGTCATCTCGCCCGAAGTCATGTCGCCCGAAACCTGAGACATGTTGCCCGAAATTTTTAGTTATGTCGCCCGAAAAAAAAAGTCAAGCCTGAAGAAACAAATACTATAAAGATTAGAATTTCAGACTGTTAATAGGCAATAACGTTGAGAAATTTTTATCACTGAAGCGCTCTTTGTTTCCGACAACACCATGAAGATTCTTAAAGCGTTGTTCGTTCCTTACAACAAAGGGAAACGTTGTTCGTTTCCAACAACAAAATGCAGCGTTGTTCGTTTGGTATGTAATCGTTTCTTATTCACGGACGTTTAGTAAGTTTGAGAAACTTTTTCTTGGTTTCTAACAATACCATAAAGACTTTGACTACACAGAAATCGATCATATGCATGTTCGGAATTGAAATATGTTTGAGTAATGATTCTAAAAGCGTTTTTCGTTTCTAACAACAAAGGGAAGCGTTCTCCGTTTCTGACAAAAAATGAAGCGTTGTTCGTTTGGTACGTACTCGTTTCCTACTCACGGGCATTTCGTAAGCTTGAGAAACTTTTCCTTGGTTTCTAATAAAGCCATGAAGACTTTGACTACACAGAAATCGATCATATGGTCAGAGAGGCCATGGGATCGACCCTAATCGTCGCACTGGGGGGCTTGTTGACGTGGTCTAACTTCACCACCACACTCAATGCAAGCTCATTTTGATCAGTTCGTATTCGTATTGTAACTAGCTTTACCCTCTTAATATATACTTTGATCGGATCAAAATATACATGCGACCGCCAGAGGAAACAGAGCACAACTAAATAATTTTTGCCTAGTCTGATCCTAAGGGAAATGATGCTATCAGACTACTACTGTGAAAAAAGTCACAAGCATAAACAATAGACTATTATCTTAAAAATATCACACTTACCTTACGCAAGGGAACAAGTTAATTTTGTTTGTATGTTACTCGCTTTACCTTTTACCGACTTGTCGAACGCGACAATCGACATTCATTTACCTGGTGTTTTCATCTGTCGTCGTTAAGAAAGTCACAAATAGACACAACAGAACTTTACTTGTATGTTACGCTGCATCCATGCATTTGTTGTCATAGAAACGAACAACGCTTCCCTCTGTTGTTAGAAACGAGCAACGCTTTTAGAGTCGTTACTCAAACATATTTCAATTCTGACCACACAATCGATTTTTGCGGAGTCAAAGTCTTCATGCTAATTTTTCAGTGGGAGTGACGTCATAGTTCTGACAGGTGTGTCCCCGCAGGCTTGAGGCTATCAGTGACCTAACTGGTGTATAAACTTTCCACCGATATGCTTTTCTAGCCTTATTTACGCTTACGTTTTATGAATTCTTCCTTACACAATCTTACACAAATTACGTTCGAAGAGATGGGTATCCTCTGATCACGATGGTGTGAATAAGGTTTCATGTGAAGTTTCCATATTTTACCTAAACTCTGACTGAATAAATCCTCCATATGGCATGAAGAGAAAATTCCGTGAGCTATATTATTGCAGTTACAGCACGCTCGATTGCTGTCCATACGGCCGGTTTAGCCGAAAAATCAATTTTAGCTTGTGGCGACACAGAAAGAAGAGAATTGGACAAAAACCCAACCAAATTTTTGAGACGTGTCTTAAAACCTTTTTCACGGGCAAAAAAATCAAGGAAAACTTTATTCGACGGGAAGTCGAAAGGACCGCTCTTAGCGAGAGCGGTACTTAACAACGAAGTTTGCCTCAGTGAAGCCATGTTTTCTAAAAATATGCTCGAAAATCTCCGAGAAAATTTTATTAGAATACTGCAGAGTTAGCAATTTGAAATCTTTAACATGCAAATTTCTGGAGGTTTTTTGTGCGCTTGCATTTTTTAAGAATTCAACTAATAGTTTCTTTTCTTTTGATTTTGCATATGAATTACTGAAACGTTTACAAGAAGGGTCCCTTACAATAGCAAATGGAGGATGGAAATAACTGCCTGAGGAGAAAACTAACAAAGTTATGTAGTTCAATACACATCAGTCAATCTAACAGCCTCTCTGTGAGGGTGTGTTAGACATCTTTGATATATCCAAATGTGATTGACTATCATGTTTCTAGGAAGTCTAACATTAAATTGCTAGTACATCCGTCGCAGTCAACAAACTGCTGTTAAGCTTCTCGATTTTCTCAACAGCTACAAAACATCGAAAGGATTTCTTTTTCAGCTGGTTTTTGAGGACATGGGAGATTTTCTACACTTGTTCTTTATTTCTGTGGCTCTCTCCCACGGACAATTTCTATCCTGCCCAGATGATAGGTTTCAAATCTTGCATTTGTTTATACGAAACTTTCAGTTTTCTCCTTCAAAACTTTCAGCCATATAGAGGCCTAATTGATAAAATGGCTAAGAAAATCGTAGTCCAATTCAATGTATTGTTATCTTTTATTCATCATTCTTAGCTAATGATATGTTTCGTTGCTTATAGTCTTCAATTATTTTGAAACATCCATATAATAATAAACTCATTCATATAAAAACAAACTAAAGTTTCATCAAGGTCATCTAAAATTAATGACAAGATTTTCGCAAGAAAGATCCTCTAAATATAAAAAGCCCTGCACTCAAGGAAAGGCAAATTGATAAATTAACTCATTGGAAATGAAATGCTTTTCATTCCCTTAGTTTTACATTCTCTCGTGAAATAAGAATATCTTTCTTGGGTATATTATCATTCACTGTTGTCATATTTAGTAGATATAATTTTTTTCATTCAGACAACTTTTGTACGAAAAATTTTTACCTTGAAAATAGAGTACAGACAGGTGTTAAACATAGATCAAAACGTTGTCGTGTAACTTTTAGAACTCGGAATTCGATGCATATTTTTCTCGTTATAGCACTCCTGCTGTGTTTACGTTGTGCAATATTTGAAGCCTGAACACTTCAAGCCTGAAGAATAAGGTTTTCATAACCAATAAAAACAGAAAGAAAATTGTTTATATACAGGGAAAGTAGTTACGTTTTCAATAATGCAAAAGGAGTACTGAATGCAAATAACCGGGCGCATTAAAACTTCTCACTTGACGGGTGGCTAACAGATAGAAGTTATGAATGTGAAATCATTCCCATAGTGATATTAATTAACAACTCTTTATTAAGACATCTTCATAATTCAGTTAAAATCGATGCACAATGAAGGGAAGGGAAGATCTTAAACTTCAATAGCGGTTTGGTACAACCCACATGCTGAATGAGTGGGGACACACAAAACTTGTCAATCATTTAATTTGTCTTTCATACAGCTTCATGTGTCTTTGATAGGTTTTTCAGTTATTTTATACCAGTTTAGGATTGTTTTGACTCCTACCCACAGTGCAAAAGGCTTACATTGGCTCTGGAAGGGTAATAATTGATTTTTTTTCAAGAAAAGTCATTTAATGTTAGAAATGACAATCACAATAATGATAACAATGATAATATCTGAAAATAACATGGGAACGACATATTTTGCGTATTTTTTTGTTTCGTTTTGATCATTGCTCCAGAGAAAATTTTATTTCCGAATGCCACTAAACTATTTACTTTGTAATAAGCATTTTCGTGTACAAACGAAGTTGTTCGAGATTGGCGAACTCGAAACTTGAGCAACTTATCAAAGAACAAATTCCCTTTAGTCTTGTCGCTCTGATTAATAATGAATAAAAGTAGGCAGACTAGTGTGATAATTAGAAAGGTTGAAAACTTCCTCTCTGACAAGTCGCTAAAGATGAAGCGCCGGTACTGTCCGATGCTGTCTCTCATATTTCTGTTTTTTCTGTTTGGGGGCTGGTTTTATACCTTAACAGTTGGAAACCATGGTAAGTTAACCTAATATTCTTCTGTCTGGGTGGGATAAAGATTTATACTATGGAAACTCTTATAGTAATGCGAGTCCGGACCAAAAAGTAATCCACTACCCGGCAGATTTGAATATCCTAATTCACACCCATCGGGGCTCTGAAATAAAATTCAAGCGTGAATGTGTCAAAGTAACTTGAGCGGGAATTTCATTTAATACACTGGTTTCATTCTTGTTGCAAAATAACAAAAAACTTTAAATTTCTTATCGCAAGCAATAGAATTCTTGCAAGTTGAATGTTACCAGGAATCGTCGAGAGCAATTACCTACGGTCATTCTTTCAAAAACAGGATTTTCACACCAGTATTCTATTTAAGCCCACCCAGTTCAGTTACATGAAAGATTATCTTCCAATTCAAATCCCCTTTTATTTTGGAAGCTATTGTATTTTCTAGAGAGGGAAAACTACAATTAGAGTATTGCTGGAAAATTATTACGCTTTTTGGGTAGCTTTAAGAAAACATCTGCACATATTTTTGATTCCTGAACAATGTGTGAAACAAATTCTATTGTTCCTAACGTCTTGAAGATTAACTTAATCATCATCAACCACAGTTGTACGAGAACCATCGTTTTTATTTGTCCTCCTATTTTCATTTACAGACATGTCTTGAAACACAGTCTCCTCATAAGTATGCAAACGAAGCAATAGCTTCACTAGAAAAGCGCCAAAACGAGCTAAATATGACATGTTTATAAAAATGTTCGGCTAAGGCTGTTGAAAAAAAATAACGAAAGGAAAAAAGGTACTAACAGCGAAGATGGGGCATTATTCTTTTTATACGTAAAGGAGAGTCAATAGGAACAAGCAGGTTCTGATCAATGCGTTACTAGCGATTTACTACGAGTAACAAAAATGCCGTTTCCATTGAGTTTACTTGAAATAATGTTAGAGATTAATGATTCAAAAGGCTATAAAAATATAATATGAGCTAGAATTCAGAACTAAAAAGTAAGGTTCTATCATAGAAAGCAGCCTTCATTTGCAATCTTTCATTTACCCAACAACATTTTCAGTTTGTCGAAATTTGGTCGAGGAAGGTTTTCAATGGTAACAAGAAATGTAATCATCACTGCAATTGGAAATTTCATGTCATGTCTTTCATTTGAATAATTTATTTGGTAACTAAAACATGGTTAGAGCTCCGGAGATAAAAAAATTGTTACATTTGGAAATGTCATCAAAGACACATTTTCATCGCATTGTTTGACTACAACAATGTAAATTTTGACCAGTTAACTACTAAACGTACCGCACAGGGCAGTCTCAACACAAATTGAGATACTGCTTCAAGAGACTTGCGCCTTACGAAGAAAAAATATAGCAATAATGAAAATATACAGTAAGACAAAATTTAAAAGGTTCACATCAATGTGTTTTCGTTCGAAAACGTATTTACTTTTCGACACGTTAATCAATAATTCACTAAAACAGTTGAGAACGCTACTAGTGCCAATATGGCGCAATCCTCGATTTGATGTTTTTTTCTATAATGGTGTTTCAGGAAAAAAATATTGGTGAAGGGTTCCAAACAAAATTGCTTGACCTGTAAGTGGGTGAGGTTTTATTATTTCTCTTCATGCCGTCGAGCTGAAAACTAATTGGAGAAAACGCTTTTATGCTGACCGAAGCCTGACCAAAGGCTGATGATCTGAGCTTTTGGGCAGATAGAACACAGAATCCGACTCAAAATCCTCGAAATCACGCGATTATCTTAAACTTTATTCAGTTTTATTCTGTTCTATTCATAAGTTGTCAACACTTTTCCCGCCAATTTACGCGAGAAGATCTGCATACTTATTAGAAGTTTTCTGATATACAGATGGCTGTCGACGTCTCAAGTTTCTGGAGCCAATAGATGGATATTTATTGATAGGCTACGTCTTGAAAAACATTTCATTACCAGTCGGAGTGCATATGTATAGTCACTGCAGAAATTGGTGTACTATGGAAGACAGATGTACATCGATCAACATGGGACCAAGCCAAAAAGATAAATTTATATGCCAGCTGAGTGACTCAGACCACTTACAACACGCTAATGATCTGAAACCGATGGCAAGCTTTGTTTATAGGGGCACAGTGGTAAGAATTTGAAAGTTTGCTTTGACTATTTGCTACTATTGTTCGTAAATCAAGAGTACTGTCCAGGTGATTTTTGTTCACTCTATGACTCCTCAACTAGTAGGTGATACAGTAAATTTACCACAAACTATCTTTAATTAGAGCTGAAAACATCATAATCAAGCAAATAAAATTTGAGTTTTAAAAAATCTCCTTGTGTTCCCCATAGGAATAAACGGCAGATTATCTCTGGCGATTAAACTCGACTCGATCGTTTGATAAATCTCCTAATGTGCTATTGGCTCTAAGAAGCCAAGAAATTAGAGATGTTCTGAGATAATTAGAATGAAATTGGGGAAGCCTGGAGGGAATGTCACTTGCGATGGAAATGCAGTTTCTTTCAAATAAGCAGCATACTAACACATATGAGGCGTTACGAGAGTTTAGTTTACCATTTTATAAATCGGTCACCCTGACGATTCATGTACAAGCTTTGCTGTGTTTTCATAATATCTCAAGGGGGGTAAAAACAATCAGAGAGGTCTTAGGTATCTTAGTTATCTTAAGAAAAATAAGGCTAAATATGTTTTTCCACCAGAACAAGTGCTACTTCAACATGTGCTATAACAACGCAACTTGCCTGGTTGGATTTACGGACAAAGGATACAAGCGTGTGTGTCCAGCTGGTTACACAGGAGAACATTGTGGAAAAGGTATGGCTACTGTGCACTCCAACGATCATGTTTACTTTCACATGTATGCGTCTTTTTTTGTATCAATTTTAGTCGTGTTGTCTCATGTCATCTAAAGATTCTTGTCTCGTTCTATTTCGCGAAATCACCTTTCCCATGAATTTTAAAGGAGCTCTTTGCCACAAGATTTCGAGAGGGTTCGATGTTGAGTTTCATTGGTCGGCGGCATGACTTTGGCGCGCATTTAAATGAATGCGAAAACTGCGAATTTCTTTGCAGGCCCGAAACTCGACGTTCGCCTTTACGCGAGTTACCTCTACTTAAACGAATTAATAGGGTATGTAGATTTGTCGGATTTTCATGGAAATTGGCAAGAATGTTCGTCAGATATCAACTTACTCAAAGCATGTGAAGCTTTTACGAAATTCGAAGTATTTCTCTCGTGACGTGCCGGAGCGTGACAGTCACAGAAATAATTTTTATCGTCAAACTTCAAAATAGATTTTCTCAGGCACCAATCGAAATATCGAAAAAAACCTCACACACTTTGTTAGCCTATTAAATACTGAGTGATACCACTCAGTTTTATCGGACTTCCGCGGTAACACAGAGGCTTGTAATTCAGTAAAGCACACACCGTCAGTTTTGTGTTTAAGGAGCTCCATAGGGTTTTATGACCGCGCGAGATCTGAGTGCGAACATGGCACGAGCTCGATACAATCGCACGATTGTTATCCGAAAAGGTGTGTTGAAAACAGTTGAACACAATACAGTTTTTATGTGATGGAATCTAGGGTTTCCAGCAACTGCACCCGTAATATTCATAGGCCTTCTACGCCTGAAAAAGAAGTCAACGAAAAGAAAACACCATGAGAAAGATTGGCAAAAGGCGACAGATCGAGACAAATTCGAAAGTTTATAGATCTTAGCGAAGTTCTCTTCCAGCACGTAATGTTTCGCGACAAAAAAAATGGGGATTTTTCGAGCCACATTTATCGCGTTTCCTTCTGTAGAATTTCCTAAGTTTTGCTGGACCGTTAAACATATTTGTGCCCTACCTAGCGCCTGTTGATAGAAAAATTAATCAGACAAAATTTGAGATAGAGGAAGAAAACACACAATTGCAAATAGCGAGGAAACTGCCTTTTTAACTTCTATTTTGTTTGGCTTTTAAATTATTGGCAGAACAAATGTCACCAATTGTGAAAATTCTGAGAGATTTCACCGAAGCAAATTAAAGAAAATCAAAGGCAAAGCCAAATTATCACCGGCGAGCGTCTCCCTCCGTGGAGCCTTAGCATAATAACGAAGGTCATTTTGATAATATCTACCACAGCAAAGCTTGACTTGTGAACTTTTATATATCTTGAACCACCTAAAATAAAAACATAATGGGGACACGTGATGACGCCAAGCTAAGCAGACGCGGTTCCGAGCTCTCTCCAAGAAACTTTCAAGAAAATGATCCTTAATAGTTTTCCTATGACTGCGTGATAACCCTTTGAGTATATTAATTGCTGACAAGCGAATGTCTGCTAGATTGACGGGATCGAAAGCAAAGGAGCGAACCGAAATGTCAGATACTGAAGCGAAGTTGGACGTAGTACTTGCAAAGATGGACGACTTGCTCGCCGCTAAAGACGGACAAGAGTCGAAGTTGAACGCCATCCTGCTGAAGTTAGAGAGTTTGGAAAAAAAAGTCAAAAGAAAACTGCTCAAGATGTCAGCGAATTGAAAGATAGTTATAAACTTTTAGACCACGATGTGACCGAGATTAAAAGCGCTCTTGCAGATAAGGCCAACCGCAAAGAAATAGACGCCCTCAACAAAAAAATTGATGACTTGGAGAACAGGTCCAAGAGGTATAATGTAGTCATATGGAGTTTAAAGGAAGGTGCCGAAAAAGACTGTGGCTCCGTAGAAGAATTCTTAAAGGAAGAACTATTCAATAAACAAATGGACCTCGAAAATATGGAAGTAATGCGAGCGCACCATACGAAGATCAACCGAGCGGATGCGAGCATTAGCGCTCCGCAGCCAAGGCCTATCCATGTATATCTACTTAGATATCCTGATAAATTCTACAGGCTGCAACGAACACCCTGGAAGATAACCCTTTCTGCGACAGTCAGATATTCATATCCGACGACGTGTCAAAATCAGTTCGAAGTGAAAGAGCCAAACTACGAAAAGAGCATTTAAAGCAACTTAAAGAAAGAGGAATCCAGTTCGCGTTATCCCATCGTCAGTTCCCGCGCAAATATTGCATAAGGAAACCGATTCTGAAAGTCTCAAGCCCTTTAGAATCAGACATGAATAGTGTTTATGCTGCTGTTTTGTTGTCATTATGAACTGCGTAATTATAGTTAAATAAACTGTATGATTTATAGTTTCGTTTACAATTCAGCTCAGGCAAAACTGCTTGTCACTTTTAATAGCATAGTATGATACAATCATTTGCCATGGAGATCTCGGCGCAAGTGTGCAGGAACCAAGATGGTAGGTGCGCTTTCGTTTGTTTGTATATTTCGTGTGTTGTTTTGTTTCTGTATTGTACTTCTTGCTCAAAACGTAAATTATTCTCTTAACACTTCGGCATTTGTTTTGCTACTCTATACATATTCCGTGCAAGTAGCACCTAGTAATGTGACAACGTTTAATCATTTTTGCATTAAGAATGCACAATTCGAAAGCTAAGCCTGAAAACATGAAATTGCTTTCCTTGAATGCTAGAGGCTTAAGGAACTTTCGCAAGCGTAGGGCACTTTTTTCCTGTTGTAGGAAGCAAAAATTCGATAATATTTTTAAAGGAAACTCAATCCACAGCAGAACGACAGGGCGCTTCTGTTTTATTTTCACACGGGAGTACAAATGCTAGAGGTGTTACAATTATCATAAGGAATAGTTGGAACATTACTATTCAACGGAGTGAAAGAAGCTCGGATGGCAGGTTTATTGTTACGCCATGTTTCTAGAACTTGAAGAAATCGAATCAAGTGGAAGAGGAGCTGATAAACACTTCTTTATTGGCAAATAAAAATTATAAACATATGATAACAAACAATTTACCGACCTGGCTGGATGCAGGTAAAGATATACATGATCCCAGACTTTTCTGGGATTGGATCATGTTCAACACAAGGTCAAACTCCATCATATTCTCGAAACAAATAGCTTTTATTCGACGGAAACAAGAGGAGGAATTAAATGAACGTTATCAGGAGGTAGTCCTAATGTTTCAAACAAATCCTTGTAATAGTGTAGTTTGAATTTTTGTACAAAAACCGAAGCAATGTGGATTGGCTCCTCCCGTAATAACACCGAAACACCGCAAGCATTGAAATGATGTAAAACTGTAAAAGCTTTAAGGGTTCACTTCGGCTACAATAACGAAGGATCAGTGCAAAAGAATTTCTACGATAAGCTCAGAAGAATTAAATCTCAGATACGCTTGTGGAGTTGGAGAGGCCTCTCCCTGTTTGGTAAAGTCACAATTATTAAGAGTTTACTACTTCCTAAAGTTTTATACATCTCGTCAATTCTTCCTTCTCCATTGGAGTTCATAAAGGCCTTTCAAACAATTATATATAATTTTCTTTGAAACGTTCCTGATAAAATCGCCAGGACAGCAGTAATAAGTGACTTCGAATTTGGTAGCTTAAAGGTAACTGATCTTACAACGTCAATTATGTCACTCCGACTTTCATGGATCGGAAGATTTTTAAGCGATAATTTTTATCCGTGGAAAGCGTATCTATTACATTTACTGAAACCTTTTGGTTGAAATTTTTTTTCTTCATTGTGATTATGATATTAATGACTACACATATAACATTTCCCCAATATTTTATAAGGAGATGTTACATTGGTGTTACACTGGACTGGTGTTCGATGCGCTGTACCAAGTCATCTAAGGATTCGAGGCCGCGAAGCTAATAAAGATCATGTCAGATCACTGCAATTTAAAATCTGTGCCAAATTTTTTGATCCAGCCCTTAGCAAGTCTAGGGATTTCTATGGTCTGCTTACATTCAGTAAGGCGACAGAGTCCAGAGGCTTCATAAAGTTGAAATCAAAATTTCCTATTGTTGATGTGGAGACATAGAAGGCCTTCTCATTAATAAGTCCTGTATCTGTGAAACATATGGGCAATGTTTTCAGTTTAAAATACTGAATGACATTTTATTTACAAATTCCCGCTTAACTGAGATAGATTTAATACAAAGCGATCTTTGCACTTTTTGCAATAATGGTGCGGAAACAATTGATCATTTATTCTTTTACTGTGTTTACTCATGTGAATTTTGGCAAGAATTTGAATCTTATTGGATCGCCATAGCCAAAGAACAAAGGAAACTCGAGTTAAAGACTATTCTAGTTGGTGTCACAGATACTAAATGTCCTCTGTTTAACTGCTTGATCGTTTTAGGTAAGCTACATTTATGAAACTGCCGTAGGAATAAGAGTCTTCCTTCTTTCTCTTCCTATAAGGAACTAGTTAAAAGAAAATATGGAACTGAACGTCACATTGCTGCTAAATATAATAGTATGAAGATACTAGAGGCTAAGAGGAAACCCGTTTTGAACTGCAATTGCTAGGTACATAGGTGTGTAACCGAAAAACAAACTGTAAAAAGTAGTGTGAGAATTGTAGTCTAATGAGGTATTGTATAGTAAGCAGTATAAGTAACGTATCGTAAGTAGTGTCTGTCTTGCTTTGTAAGTATTATTCTTCGTGTTGCAATAAAAAAAAAAAAGAAAGAAAAAGGAAGAAAAAAAAAAACTATATCGATGTTTATGTGCGTCTGGATTCATTGGCCAAACACCGCGGGGTCGTGCAACTGTTCATGTAATACTGGATTTATTGGAGATGGACACATAAAAAATCTAAAATCTTACCCATCACATCTTACGCCAGCTAACCTCTATGACGTTTGCATAAGCGCAGATGTTTGAACATCATGTTGACATCGTGAATCACGAATTTTTTACAGTTTCTTGGGTTCATTTCAGACATCGGTGAAGGTGCTTAGAATACTTATGTAGCAATGAAAACGCTATTTGCGAAAATTAAGATGAATCTTCGAAGTGTATAAGTAAACCTGGATTCAGTGGGGATGGACACAACTGTACAGTTAATGAATTTTCTTCGGACCATATTAGTCATTAATGAGGGCAGTACAAATGACCTGATATTCTTGTCGTTATGATAATAAAAGAACCTTAAATATCATGATAGAAGTCGCATTTGATGATCCAGATAATACTTCACTCTTCTTAAGTTCATCAGATATACAATTATTGTCTGTTAAATTTGATCAGCAGGCGTTGTCGTTTCGACCAGTTTTTTCTTTTTCATTTTTTTATTTCTTCTATATATATATATATATATATATATATATAATTTTTTTATTCTCTCCCTATGATCATGGTGGCACATATCATTGTGTTGATTTCATTACATACAATGCAGTAGGGACAATGCCACTTGTACAAATACAGAGGGATTCTTCAACTGCTCTTGTGATCCTGGATTCAGCGGGGATGAACACAATTGTGCCCGTGTGAGAATTTTTCAAAGTATGATTGCTTTCTCGTTTCAGCAAGTAAAATATACATGGCCTGATCTTTTTGTCCACAAATACTTTTAAAGAGCCGTACCCTGTTTCATTTCTTCTATGACACAACATTTGAGGAACCTAATTAAGACTTGTGTTAGTCAATTTTTTTGACTGATTAAGTTGTCTTTACTGCAATTTTTGCATTGTATATTGAAGCCTCCTTACTTTTATGAGATTGGGTACAATCAGTTGATTTCATTGCAGACATCGATGAATGCGCTACAAGTACCCACAACTGCAGCAGGGACAATGCGACTTGTACAAATACCAAGGGATCGTTCAACTGCTCTTGTAGTCCTGGATTCACCGGAGATGGACACAACTGTAAAGGTGATGAAAATTATCAAACCATGGTGTTCTGTAGTATCAGCACATAAAACATTCAGATCTCCTAGCATAAAATACGACATACACGATGACCTGAGATTCTAGACACTGGATTAACAGGCGTGACTGTCATTCCCACAATGCAAATTGGAGACCTACCCCAGCCCCAATTCCCCTTCAGCCCGGTTACTCATTATCATGATCATGGTACGTTCTGTTGATCTCATTTTAGACATCGATGAATGTGCTGGAGATACCCACAACTGTAGCAGAAACAATGCTACATGCACAAATACCGAGGGATCGTTCAACTGCTCCTGTAAGCAGGGATTCACTGGAAATGGACACAAATGCGAAGGTAGAATTCTCGAAACATCGTATTATCTAACAATCCATTCTATGTGGGAATCTTCTCAAAGCTCTGTCAATTTTCATCGGCTTGCTTCTTTGCTTGTTTCCACTGACAGATAGCCTGGCGCACGCTTCATATACACTTATATTCTCGTCTTAAGACAATATCAAATTTTTGGGTTTCTTTGATTGGACAACGGCTCTATGATCCTAGTTATAATTTTCTTTTACCCATTGCTTTGCCTGGATTAACTGCCGCAATCATTATCACTTAGGATGAATACAGTCTCGGGGGTAAAATCCGTAGGAGGAAAGACCTCATTTGTTCCTTGAGGGCGCAAATCGAACGTTTGTTTACCTCGTGGCTTTAGGCCTTCCATGTGAAGAAACGCGAGAAGTAATTGACGGTCTCGGTTCCAAACCAAATTTTCTCAAGAAAATTGCGAGAAACCACTAACTACCCGGAATAAAGCCCCGATAATTTCAGAAGACTGCTACGACAATTTAAGATCTCAACACATTCAAATTTCTCAGATGCACTTGGATGACAGACCACAGTGGAAATTTCACAAATCTCGATAACATAGTAATGGCGGACTAAGCGCGCAATGAGTAGTGGTTGTTAGGTTCCTTTGAGATCAATCCGTCAGTCACAGATTGAAGTCCCACCCCCACAGCTCCTTAGTTATTCCCAATTAATGTCATATTTACAGTCTATTAAATTCATATTAGACATGGATGAGTGTGCTGAAGATCCCCACAGCTGTAACAAGGACAATGCCACATGTAAAAATACCGAGGGATCGTTCAAATGCTCTTGTAAGCCGGGATTCATTGGGGATGGACACAGCTGCAGAGGTAAAATCCTATACAACGAATACCGAAAATTAGGGAGCTTCAGCAGCATTTTAGCTTTGGTTTGAAGCTCTCTGTAGTTCTGATTATAATTTTACTGTTTCTGTCAGTGTTGTCAATGGACCGAGGTAAAGCCTTAACATAACTTCTTTATAATCCACACATCACATGTGTAGTTTACCAAATCAAAGCCTCATAATAGTAAAAGTGTTGGGTGGGGGAGGGAAAGGGGGGAAAGAGATTTAGGTAGGCGTGTCCTCTTTTCAAACGAAGGGGCAGGTTGTGCAAAACAGAGATAAGAACTTAATGAGGTTGGCTTACAGTTTTTTCAAAGATGTTAGCTTGAGAGCTACCCTCTGGAATTTTTTTGAAATGAAATTTGACATATCAGTTGTAAGCAGAGAGTAGTCGAGGCATTGTTAGATTCATAACTATATTATGCGATTTGATATGACCACAATTAACTCTTTTTTGTTGAAAATAGTGCTTGACTGTAAATAGCACGTTAGTGGATCAAGAAGGTAATTGTCATCGAACGAGAAGCATTTTCCTGTTTCTTTTCGACAGGCTTATTAGGCTTCGTTCCCGAGATGCCTGCCGAGTCTTGTGGAGAGATCAAAGCTAGCGAACGAAGGATGGCTGTCAGTGGTAGATATTGGCTGGAGCCCCAGGAGACAAACATGAAATCCAAGAAGTTTTTGGTAATTAAATTATTATTCTTCAATCATGGGTAATTCAAGACAGGTTTGTATCGTAAAAAGCAAGAATGTTTGGAATTCATAATTTCTTTCTTGAAGGTAATTCACAAAAAAAAATTGGATTAAAAAATGTAAGTTTGCATGGAATTCTTAATTCGTTGCCAGGTTTATTGTGACATGGCATCAGCGGATCAGGCCTGGACTCTCCTCGCTCGGTTTTCAAACAGTGACACTAAAAACTGGATGGATGACTCAGGAGGTTGGTGGTATGACAGTACTCAAGCTGCAGGAGAAACCACTGACCCGTCATACAAAGCAGACATGATCTCGCCGGCGTTCTGGCTGGTCAGTGGCAGTGAGATTAAGATCACGCGCAATGATGACTCTAGTCACACTCCTCTATTGCAAACAACGGGGAACTGCCTGAGCAGGAAGACATTTCGCTCCAAAATTACCGGCTATGGTGACTTCAGAAACGGTTCAGTTTGGTCCAAAAATGAGTGCCTAGGAAAATGCAATGTTCAATATGGTGGACAGTACCTACAAACTGAGGGTTTCGGACAGACTTCATGCAGCGGTGACCTGCAAGGTGCTGATGAGGTCGGCTTCTGGTGTAGCTGGAAGTGGGGTGGTTCTGTGATCATGATTGGAGGAGGCGGAGATAGTTGTTCTGGTGCCGATCACGGAATTGCGATAACGAAGGCGAAACTTGCCTCTTTTAAAATAAAAGAGCATGGCAGAAGAGAAGATGAGTTTGGTGACAGTGCATGGGGTGATAAAACGAAAAGATACTCATTGAATTTGTGGATTCGTTAATGTCTCCAATGTTTTATGATTTGCCTTGCCTCTTAGACAAATTTTCAATTGATTGGTTTATATTATCATTAGCCAATGAGAACTCAAAGTGATTGAAGCACGGGAAAAGGCAAATGACATGAAGTCGGTGTTGTAGTTTTGCATTTGATTGGTTAGGAAAATGGGGCGAATTTTCTGAGCCAATCATAGAGCAAAGTTAAGTTAAACCAAAACAAACCCGGGTTTCTTTGTACACTTAATTGAAAAATGGTTCATGAATGCAAGAAAAGAGATGAAACATTGGCCTCATACTTGATATAGAAGACATAGTTGATGTAAAACAATAGAGAACAAGGGAAAAAGAACCAGGGATCGCGGTCATGGAACCGTGTTGATGATTGGTGAAGGGGGAACCAGCTGCACATGTGCAGATGACGGGATTGAAATATCTGAGGCTGATCAAGCAGCCTTTGTTAAAACAACGGAGGCAAGTGAAACTGAATACGACTTTACAAATGAGGCTCAGACTTCATCTAAACCGAACGATGCATATTCCTTGAATCTGTAGATTAGTTAAGCTTTGGAGTGAATCTATCACGGTAAATCGTCCTTACAAATTAGTTGCAGGCCTATATCGAAAAAATTTAAACCCACAGGAAGTGCTCTTGAAGACTTGATAGTTATGGAAAATAAAACTCGAAGTCAAAGCGTCTTTGATTAAATTTTAAGAACATTTAGAGATATGTTTGAAGGCTTGGGTCAGTCTTAAGGGTTTAAATGGGCGTCTTGCGTCAAGATCTCATATAGGCTCTCTATATATTTGTGTAATTAGCTCAGTTATGCACGCATTCTGATTGGTTCTCACTTATGATCTATTGGAGGACAGAAGTATAGATGACGTCATCATTAAAACTTTTTTCCGTATATTTTGATTCTTTATAAAATAATTCAAATAGTACGCGCGCTCTGATTGGCATAAAACCATTTTACATGAGCGTATGTAAACACGGTTTTCGTTCCTCTTTCATTAGTTATTTTATTAAAAGAAATGTTAAATGGTTTCCATGTTTACATAGCCTGATGTAAACACTTAGGAGGTTGGGAGAACACTCGATATGCTGGAAACCATCCGCTTCGCGTCGTGGTTTCCTACGCTTATCTCGTGTTCTCCCAACCTCCGGCGTGTTTACATCAGGCTATGTAAACACGGAAACCATTTTACATTTCTTCATTATTATATAAAACAAATAGATTCCAAGTTGCTGTGCGGCTGCGCCTCTTGTGCCACTTTTTTGTTCTTACCACATTTTGACGTCATCTGTGATCTATTACTGAACAGACGCACGGCAACTTGGAATCTATTTGTTAAATATATATATCCGGAGTTAAAAAATTGTATGGTTTCCATAGTATACCTCTATTTTAAGACTGTATTTATAATGTCAATCTGCAGTGAGTAAAGCACAGGAGTAAAGAAAACTTACCGAAATTGTCTTTAATCAGTGTGCATCACGGTAAAAGAGTAGAGGAGATGATAGATTCTGCGCCACCCGTTTGTGGGTAATTGGGGTATTTTTCTAAACTGTAAATGGAAAAAATAAACGTCGCACTGGGTGTGATAGGCTTTCATTGGTGAATCGACACTATAAAATTTGCAAACAAGTTTATTAAGTGAGTCATCAGTGAAAGTCCGATGGAGGTTTCTCTGCTTGCACAAATAATCGCATATTTGTTTGCCTCTTCTGTAAGAAAGAGGCTACGGACTTTTTATGTAAGAGTCAGCTCGATTGGTTTAACCGTTAGCCGGAAAAAGGCCCAAATTAAATTAGCAGTTAGTGAAAATTGACGAATTTTAATTGGTTAGCCGTAAAAAAAGTTACCTGTTTAAAACTTTCTGATGACTGTAGTGGAAAGATATTAACCGTTCGCCGTTAATTGGCTAACATTATAACCGTTCGCCGTTAAAGCCTTCACCCCATTGACACCCTCATTTAAGAGTTTGTAAAGAGATCTCCGTTTGTAGAGAGATCTCCCCTTATATTGGCCCGGTGAAAAACCTATACTTGCCTCATAAAATGTTAAAATGTTCACTGATTGCATTAGACAGGACAACTTTACGGCTGAGAATCCTTGTCGACGAGGAGAGCGAGGCACGCGCAGGCTACACCTAAAAGACAGCTTGGGAAGATAGCTTAAACCCGATTGAAACAGGGGCAGTTTTGCATGTATCTTTGCTCCACTGGCCGTTAAGGGGATAAAATTAATTTCATGAGCACTTAACATCACAATCAGTAAAGAAGCTGCGTTATAAAGAATTTGTGAGTATTTATTTTTCGCCTCCATGTACATTAGGTAAGCCTGTTGAGACTAATTTTGTTAATAATTTTTTATGATTTAATCTTTCATTTGCAATTCTAGTCAATCTTCCTCATCCTTTGCCGACCTCATTGCATTAAGGGTAAGTTCTTTCCCGTTCAATTATTCTATCTTACAAAACTAATATTTTTTTTTTGAGGTTTCTCGTGCTTTAAAGGTAATTTTTACAAACATCCTAGACTAAGGAATGATGACGCAGCTCTTCAAAAATGCTCAGCTTTTGGGACAGAAAAATATCACCAAACAAATGATTACAATTCAAATGCAAATTTACTTCGAACGTCACTTGCGATTCGCTTCCGAATATCTTGGAATGGTTACTCAGTGAGTATCTGATGGTAATGTAGACACAATCAGCTGCTCAGCCAATCTCGCTCTTTGGATGTGCTTTCAGATCCGGATGCCCTTAGATAACTTTGCTTCATTCTATATAGAAGGTGGGTTTCTATAGAAACTGAGGTGCTGAGTCGTTGGAGGAGCACGACAGGATAATTTTGGTTTTATCAACTTAGTTGGTAATGTAAATTGGCCGACACTAACGGATGCGACTGACGCGTTAAAAGCTACTTTCAGTGCACGAACCGTAAGCGGCTGATATTTGAAACATCAGCAGTCAAACAGCTTAAGAAATGGACGCGTATACTTTACACCAATTATTAACCTACAGTGCAGTGCAGGTTATTAGCCTCGAGTGCAGGCTAATAGCCAGTTAGTAATACGAGTTCGAGATTATAATATCCTTGGGGTGAGTTAACGCTACAAGCTGGCGATTATAGATTCTAGTACCGGCAATGTTTGATTTAGAGTTAAAATGGACGGTAGGGGGGAGTGCACGGGAAAAGGCTGGTAATTTCTATTGCCCGACCCCCTCCCCTCTCCTTCCTTTTCACCGACGCTCGCCTTCTTCTTACAAAAGATTTCTTTCTCTCCCCAGTCTTTTGTTGCCGTAAAAATAAAAATCTTAAAAAAATTTACCATTCAGAAGAGTTTTCTTTCTTAATTTTCCTATATTTTGGGTTTCGAAGATTTTGTCAACGTGTTTCAAAAAGTCTTATGGTCTGTTTGTTTGTCAGTTAGTACGTATCACAAAGAAAAGTAATTGCGAATTTCCGGTTTTAGCCCAATTCATTTCCGCTCTGTTGCTCTCAGCCAAATAGAAGCCAATCATTTATTACCTAGGATACATTGCGCGATTAAAAAGATGGAGGAGAAGGTTAAATTAAAATTTATTAAAGTAATGAGCTCATAAGGAAATGTCACAGAAGAATCTTAGGCTAGGCTAAGCCTCCTGCGAGATGCAAAACAGAGGTGAGATTTTACTCTCTGTGTTCACTACGCCTAAGTAGTACGTGTAGTTAACGCAAGTAAGTACGTTTTAACAAAGTCGGGTTCAAGATTGTACAAGACTTGGTTATGAAATGCCGGTACTTGTTGCCGCTATGGGTTGTGGCTGGGGACTGTTCCAGTTTAAACCCACATTTATTTTTTTCTGATAATAGCTCGTATTAATCTTACCCGTGACAAATTATCTAAAAGGAAAATTATTTGAAACCTAGAATGAAAAAATTACATCGAAGGCACTTGAGGTTTGGTTTGCTTATTTTTTGTTAAGCTTACATGATGCCAAGGCTTTTGTTTTTCTCCACGGCAAAATAGCGATTACATGTGGTTGCTGTTTAATATCGAGTTCTTCAGGACAAATTTATGTTCAGGTTTTTTATTATTATTTTTTGTCTTGTTTTGCTTTGTTTTGACTCGATTTACCCGCTAGCATAGTGCAACTTATGATTACGTTAATTAAGTGGAGAATTGATTCTTTGATTCACCACTAAAACTAAAACAAAAAAACATTAATGAAAGTCATATGTCTTTTTGCTGTTAGCTTATCAAATGATCACAGATCAGCCACATGTTAGCTATTAAAGCACTACGTATGGTGGTGTGATCTCTGGGAAAATTTGTTTGCCATTGTACTTTAGGATGACAGAGAGCAACTTAACTGTTCAATAAGTGTTTTCTTCTGAGTTTCAAATTTGGCAAAGAGTGCCATCTTGGCCCTTATTGTGACCTGCCTTTAAAAAAGAAGGAAACTTTAAGAAATAAATGAAAAGCTCTGTTGCTGCCAAAAATCAAGTTAACATAATTTAATTCTTTCAAATTCTTGTATATTTATTTCTTGGATCATGTGTACTATAGGTGGACTCGGTCGACATATCGGGCGACCGTCGACCGATATATCGGTCGACTATCGGTCGACTATCGGTCGACTATCGACCGATAGTCGATCGATAGTCGACCGATAGTCAACCGATTGTCGACCGATAGTCGACCGATAGTCGACCGATAGTCGACCGATAGTCGACCGATGGTTAACCGATATATCGGCCGACTGTCGGCCGATGCATCGGCCGATATGTAGCGATCAACTGCCGGTGAAGTATCGGTCAAGTATCGGTCAAGTATCGGTCAAGTATCGGTCAAGTATCGGTCAAGTATCGGTCAAGTATCGGTCAAGTATCGGTCAAATATCGGTCAAGTAGCGGTCAAGTAGCGGTCAAGTATCGGTCAAGTAGCGGTCAAGTAGCGGTCAAGTAGCGGTCAAGTAGCGGTCAAGTATCGGTCAAGTAGCGGTCAAGTATCGGTCG